CGCCTGGCGTCAAAGGCCGGCTTTATGGAGGTGGGTGGCGCTCCCTGGGTCGAGGTCAGGGGCTCATAACCTCGGGGGGCCAAGGGGTATATGTATCTTTACAGTAAATATGTTTGTATACGTGGTTGCATGTATTCTTAAATATCCACTGTACATGGCGTGCATATCTGTCAGGTTATTTCGCGCGAAATTCCCTCCTCTCAATTGGCTCTCTTCCCAGGGGATGGCCAAGTTCTTCGGAAAATACGAGTTTCTGGCGTTTGGTCCCGTGATGGATAAGCTTCTGTCTTATGCCTGTGACGAACGAGTGCTCGCGTCAGCCATGTGTCGGAACTTCCTCTTCCAAATAGGTGGTTCTAATCCGAAGCAACTCAATGAGGTTTGGTTGTTATATGTATATCATGGTGGTTTGAAAATTGTGGAAGGGAAAAACGACAAGAATTACAGTTGGCTAGCTCTTCCAAATTACTGGCTCTTATCAGAAACAGCTAAATGAGGTTTGGTTATCATGTGTATATTATGGTGATTTGGAAATTGTAAAAGGGGAAAAAAAAGAAATGCATTTAGCTAGGTAGACTGTTGGTATTACATTAGAATTTGTTTCTGGTGCTTCTGGATCGATGTAGAGATATTAATTTTGTATTTCATATTTGCGCTCTTGCCTCTTCCTAAGAGGAAGAGGCAAGAGAAATATTTGGACATGACTAATTAGTTTCGCCATTTTCCAGTTTTCTAACCTCAGTGAACACGTTCTATTTTCCAGGAATTTCTGCCTGTTTTATTAACTCACACCCCCGCTGGAACTTCCATATTCACAGTCACGCATTACCTTCAGGAGATAATGTCAGGTCAGTGTGATTACATGGGAATTACAAGCTGTTTCAATCAGTCTAGTATAGATGATGCATGTATATATATGACAGCATTTCAAACTTTTAACTTGAGGTCTGTCCAGTGAGATGTAAACGGTCTCACCTTACTAGCTATAGGGAAACCATTCCCCAAATCACTAGACCTTGGGTCATTTTATGTTTTTCTTGTCGAAATTTTCTCATAGGCCTCTTTCACACCAAGGAAATACATGAAACCTTTCACACAGAAGTGTCGTGACGTGAAAGGTGAAAGGTTTCATACATTTCCGGATGTTCACCTTCAAATGGCGTGCCACCTTGGTGTGTAAACGGCCATAGTGTATTTGGATGTATTTTCGCTTGGGTTTTCCATTCTAGTGGAAAACATACACTGCTGTAGTTATTGTATCTGTTATATACATATTGGAATGGTTTATCGCTGTGAAACCAATGTACGTTATTAACATACTAAATCAATTAGAACCTAATAGGAGAATGTAAGGAGTCTATCTCAAACGCTTTATATATCAATTAACCTTGCCAGTTGGCCAATTCCGTTGATACCTCTGTAGTACTCTCTGTTGGAAATCGAGGATTTTTTGTGTTGCATGATTGATTTTACTAAATGAATGTGCAGCTGAAGTAGGGATGTCCACAAGAGACTGCTAATTTTCGCTTAAAGAAACTTAAAATGCCGTAAAGTAGAATAGTAATGGAGAAGTGTTTCAAGCCGAAACGAATTGATTATGTGATAAAAGTTGACAGATATCAAAGTTTCTGGATAAGACTCCATCCGTTCTTGAGAGCTATTAAGTTTTTTTTTCTGTCATATAGAGCTAATTCCTCTGATCATATCTGAACGTTTAACATGGAGTCTGAATAACTTGTAGGAGCTCTAAGCTCTACGCATTTAGAGACAGGCAGAACTCTTTTCACCAGTCAGGCGGAAGGGGTTGGTGTGTTTGCTCGCACACTTATGAACAGCGCAAACTCATAGTAGGAGAAAGTTAACCTTTTTACGCTCACCTGATAACTCTCAGAATGCTCCTTATGGATTAGCTGAAGCCTGTCTCAGAGACTGGTCAAAATACAGAAGCATAGTGCGTATTAAGTCGAATCACATGGGCCTGAAACCGTCCTGGGTTCTCCATTCCAGCCCCTACCTGAAAGGGGCTGGAAAGAGGGGGACTCTTCACACTTTCTTGGAATCTAAATGTAAGAACACCGGCATATTATTGCATTGTATTATCATTACGTAATTTTTACACCAAAGTTTTTTTTCTTTTTTTCATTTGGCAGTTTTTGTTTATCTTTATATTTTCACGATCTAGTTAAAGGCTCCCAACTCCCTAACAAATTGCTGTTGATTTAGGTAACTTCCAGAAATACGATTATGGTGTGAAGGGCAACCTGGAGAAGTATAATTCGACATCTCCGCCAGAGTACAACCTTAACAATGTTACAGTTCCTGTAGCGCTCTTCTCCTCGGAAAACGACTGGCTTGCTGCGCCCAAGGTAATGACAGATGTCTAAAATAGGTGTACATTGATGGCCAAGTCATGCATATAAATAATGGCCAAAAGCAGTGCTGTGAACTATTCTGAGTTTAATTCCCATGATGGAAAAGATACAAATATTGTTTTATTTGTATATCAAAGTGATTCCATCCTGTCCATATCTCTCTCCAGGATGTTGAGAAACTCAAGCTTGAGCTTCCAAATAATGTGTACCACAAGGTTGTGGAGGATCCAATGTTCACACACTTGGACTTCGTGTGGTGAGTTCCGATGTTGGTTTTGATTTTCTTTTAAAAATGGCAGTTGTGAAGAGTAGGCCACTGTTATAAGGCATTTTAATACGCTTCATACTTTATTTTCTCACAAATTACGAACATTGCTGTGTAACGATGATAGTGTTGCTCCATTGTTTTGTATCTGAAGATAACCAGTTTGCTTACTACTGGTTGACCAGAACTGTATTTCTGTTTCTTCTATGCAACAATAGTATTTAAATGTTTGCTGAGATATATCACGATGTAACACGTTGCTAGGTATCATTTCTGTATATGTAATGATAGTAATCCTGATAAGGTAGTATAATATGACTCCTTTTTCTGATTATCATAGGATAATTGCACAAGTCCCTAAACAGCTATTTCCTTGATATAAGATCAATCTGTGTGAAAGGAACATTTTAGGGGAAAAAATTAACAAAGCATTGTCAAAGCATGATAACCAGACTTCCATTACAATGGGATCTTGAACAATAATATTCAAGCAGTACCTGGCAAAGGGGAGCTGAAATGAGATAATATTAATGATTCTCCCAAGACGGATATGATAACCATGGTTTGTATTTGTATTTGCCAGCGTGCCATGGTCTCCTGTATTTACGATTTCTGACTATTATTGCATATAGTAAAGGGGAAACTTGGGTATAGTTTCATGGGATTTCAGTTGATTCTATGCTGTTCAAATAAGACTTTATATTATCAAGAATAATTAAGATGAGTTGCCTGTGCTAAAGGAAGAAAATAAAGTTTCCGAGATTCTTTCACAGAGTAATAACTTAATAAATATGAAGCATGGAGTAGTGAGAAACATTTTCTAAAACATTGTATATCTTCTTATACCTGCCTGATACGAAAATTGGATCCCAAAAATACAGAGTAAATATTTTATTCTGTGAGAAACCAATGTTTACCTAAATAACACATGACTCAGAAAGAAAATACATTTAGTATTACATTTATATTGAAAACAGGATTTTTATTCTTTGAAACTCATATGGTCTTTATTTTCCCAGGGCAAAAGATGCTGATCAACTTGTGTACAAAGATGTACTGAATTTCCTGGCTCAGTGCTGAGGATTTCTGGTCCAAGTTCAACCTGTACCATCGCAATGTTATTTTTTTCAGAATTTTATTTTAGTAAACAATGTATGTTGTTCCAACTGCATGATCATTAAAAGTAGGAATACTTTTTGCTAATTTTCACACTATTGGCAACTATAATTATTTAATACATCCTGACATCCCAACTGCACTAATATTGGAATGAACTTAAATTAATGTGCAGACCTCCAGTGAATTTCATGAATGGACATTATATTAACACTACATTTTTATAGTAGTACTAAAAAATATTGCTGGTTATATTTTTTATGGAAATGTGAAGCTAGAAGTTTGGTCGATAAAAATTATCAAAAAAGATTTGGTCTATATGTATATGTTTAGCAAAACAGTGATTATTACAAAAACAAATCTGGAAACAAATGTTTTGAATAAATATAGAACCTTCTTGCATTTTCCAATAAACATATACCATGTTGACACAATAAGTTCCCTCAAACACTAATTAGTCAGGTAGGAAATGCCAATAAGTAGTTGCTACAAGAAAAAAAAATGCTTTCCTGGTTATTAAACATTACATTGAATTCTGTCAAAAAATAAATAAATAAATAAAGCGAGTTTGTGTGCAATGCATTGCACGTGACTGTAAATATTTGTAATTTTAGAAACACTAAAAGCGTCATTAATAAATGAAGGCATACATAAACGTGTTCAACATATGTAAATGATGCATTTGTGTTAACCCAGTTTATATGCCATAATATATACATATATTAAACCTATATATATATATTATATATATCTATATTATATAAAATAGTATTATTATATATAAATAAATAATTACAAACAAAAAATTGGTGGGTCGGTTTGGGGTTGGGGTGCAATAATCATAATAACAGGGAACCAGACGGACAAGAAGTGAAAGAGTGAAGAAGAACAAGAAATAAAGAATATGCAACTCTCTGTGGAGTTTTCCGAGCTCAAAGCCACACTACGTTACTTTTTCTGCATTCTCATTTTTAAGGCTCTTGTCCCTTGTATCAGCATGCATGCAGAATGTCTCCAGGTAAAGCCGTGGTGAAGCCCGTTTTCATCTGACTATGCAATTTTTACTGATAAACGAAAAAACAGTTCATGTAAACATAAGCAAATGTTCTGGAATATTCTATATACAACTTAGTAGTCTCCTTGAATTATTATTATTTCCTTAAAATATATATTGAGTGAGAATACTGTGTTTATTTCCAGGACCTCACTCACGTGGAGCCATGTTTGTTTTACATGTGCAACATGTTTGTTACCATGTGGCAGTGGTACTCTGCCAGTGTGATAGGTCAGTCTATTTGCATGCAGGAAGATCTTATGGAAAATGTAAAAATGGACAGCAAAATTGATGGTGTAATAGTATTAACAGTTGATTAATGGTTAAGACAAATATGATAGACATCAAAGTTCATATAGCACTATGGTAAAAGTACTGTGGCAAAATGGGTAAGTGAATTGACAATTAGAACAAAAATCTATATGATGTCAAAGGTCATAACAGCACTGTAGATAGTATGGTAGTGAAAAGGGTAAAGAAGGGGAGCAAATGAAGTATGGCAGGGATATGTAAAAATAGGAAGGTGAACCACAAGCACCCAGTACAATTTCAAGCCAATAGAATAGTTTCCAGGTGGCTTAAAAAATCGGTGTGCGCGCTCTCCCGACGCCCGCCCACAGGTGACAAAATCAAAGAAGCAAGCTCCGATCTTAGCTTCGCACTGGCGGGATGCCTCGGAATGTGAGCCCCAAGTGCGGTTAAGAGCAAAAGACTGATACTACAATTCCAAATGAGTTATGTGGATCAAAGAAAGATAACAGTGCAGGAGTCTTATAAAGACAATAATCGCGACACATGAAGCAGAGGAAGCGAGCGAAAAATCAGGAGAAGAATAATCATAGAGAGAATATAGATTATGATCCATCAAAGAAATACTTACCCATCCACTTCATCTTCCGCGCTCACCTAGTTCAGATCCATAATAAGAGATAAACAATAAATAAAATTATGCGAATCACTATCTAATATCCCTACCGTCATATGAATAAAAAAGGCATAAGTATATAACTCTGAAACCACTTACAGTGCACCAGTAATATTCAAATCCCTATATCGCAATTTTTCAACATAATACAATATACAGTATTTATATGGTTGTATAACCTGGAATAAAGGAGTTACGCATCTAATATTTATATATATAAGTATTTAGTTTAAGGAATATAATATATATATATATAAGTATATATACCCCAGTATATTTAGTACTATTTTATATATCGCTAGTGCGTATACCATAAAAACACAATTCACATCACTAAACTACTACAACATGTATAATAACTTAATATAATTGTAAATAATTTTTAAATTAATAATATAAAATTTATAATACCGATATAAAAGAGTAATTATAATATTATTATAAATACTTATGGTATGTGATCTAGTGTGTTGTCTTGAGTCAGCGTGTCGTGTGTCCAATGTAGTAGTGTCAGCTGTGTGTGTAGTGTTGTGTGTGACGCTTGATGTTAACGCTTAGATATTGTGATATCAATGCAGCAGCTACTATAAACTGTTTCCACAAATGATACTTTAATACTAACATACAGTATATGACACACACAAACACAAACACACACTACGCATGTTTCGAAGATAATAACGCTGATTTGAAAACAGAAAGAGCAGAACCCAGAATCAGCAGAGAACTAGCTTTTATTTCCAGCTAACAAACCAAAGACAGAATTGAATGTACAATATCCGAGGCTCTTTTCCTCTTGACACAAGTCATAGGTTACCAATCCTATCCAAAAACCACAGTCATTTAGTTATCTTTAACTTTCTCAAAATAAAAAAATAAATTGTACTGCATCCATGCCGCACACTATATATAACAAGAACACAAAAAAACTATACCAAAAAGAGAAAATAAAGAAAATATAATATTACTCTAACTATAAAAATATATGTATAAAAAATAAATGACAACCAAACCTCCCTAATAAAAAACGGCCAGTTTCCAAATCGACACATTTAGCATCGGACACGTTCCTGACCCAATGAACGTATTTAAAATGTAATACGACATGATTATAAGCACATGAAAAATAAATAACGCACTGTATATTAGACTGCGAAACTGGACTCGACCTATCACCTGATCAACTACCGCAAATCGTCTATTCTCTAACGATGTATCAGTGTAAAAGATATGAATGATCACTGACCAACTTAGACTAGAATATGGTATTTAAACGCAACATCGCTATGGTCTTAATGGACGTCCTATTGACTGGTTGGTATACATTATCGCAAGGGAGATATCAAATCATGACCTTTAAAATCTCTCGAGGGAACTCAAACTCACACCCCGCCCAATAGTCCGTGATCCATCTTACAAACAGAACGGGACATTCACGCAAAAAATTAATTATATCTTCGCTAATTTCAAATAACTAATAGTGGCGAAATCAGCTCGTCAAATGAAAGTCAGGAAAGAAGTTGCCTTGAATATGAATCTATACAGAAATACATTAATAATCAGTAAAAACACATATCCCATCCATTCTACATTTTCATGTAAAACCACACTCATGATCCTGACCACCTTCATTGCTAACTTACCAAGATGACAAAATAGTTTTACATTACAGAAACGGAAGGAGAAAAAGAATAACAATAATTTCTTTAAGAGTCCTCCCTTAATCATCAATCAACATAGACTAATATGAGTAGAGAGGAGTGTGCAGACACTGGTAAATCAATTCTTAAAATCTAACGCGAGAACTGGAAGAGGAGTGATAGCGCCATCTTATTGAGGAAAATATGTGAGTCAGACAGAAACGCGAAATACAACGGAAACTAATAAACATTTTATTATTTTTTCTATTTCGTTATGAAAGTTACTCAGTAATATATTCTAGCACATTAATGATCCTTTATCTAGAATATTTACGGTTGTTAAATAAATGATTGCGATTAGATAAAAGATCCTGGTTTGGATACATCAAAATGAAATATTTCTAACAACAAGACCATCTGAAATAGTTCAATTAATATAAAGTTATAACTTCCTCTTTGTAACGGTATATTTTGTAAACGCTTGTTTAACAACCAACCAAACCTCGACATTTTGAAATCTGAATCCACTGTTTTCTCTCACTCTTCATTGATTTCAAATTGTTATCTTCCCTGCTGCTCTTTTCACAACATAGTGAATCGGCTTGTGTAAGATATGAACAAAACCAAATGATTCTTGATAATTAACTTAATAAAAAGAATATTCAATGTTAATCCAAATGAATTGTAAAGAAAAAGTAAAACAATGTGTGTTGCACATACAGAATCCCGTAATAGCGACATTAATTAATAGAAAACTACTACAAGTCACTCTATCAAGTAAACCCATCCTTTTACGAAAAGTGTATATAACAGATACGACTGAAGAAAAAATAGAAAAGATCTAATAGTTATAAGCATTAGCACATGACCGTTTCCTCATCACATTACCGAATTTGTTAGCTTCTAATCACACTGAATTTTCCAGATCATAAGTCATCTAATCACCTATTTCATTGAGCTCGTCTTCATAACTGAGTCTGTTTCCGTTTCAAGATTTTCTCCAGTAATCCTGATAATTTATAGTTCAATATAATGAGACAATTGAATATAAACTAAAAAATAAATGGACCAATCGAACATATGTGAAGCATATTAACTGTTAATATGCATATATTCTAGTTTTACGTACACTTCATCGTCACACACATAAAAGTTAGAATACATTAATACTTTTTTCAACCCCAAAGAAATGCATAAAGAAAAATTCCGGAAAAGTTTCTTTTTTTATGCAATGTTACAAAATGCTTTGCGGCTTCAGTCTAATTTAAATTTACCGGGTAAAAATAAACAAACCATCCAGGTGAACGTAGAACAGATAAGACCGACAGAAAGACGCGCAAAAGCCATCTATTATCCTAACGTAGCATCTGGCAAACCCAACAGCATCGCAGCACCTCAGCTTACTTTCCCATCTTTAAAGAAAAAAATCTCACGGCTTCGAGTTGTTCTTGCCGATCAGCTGAGCTCACAACATGGCGGGTGGAACTGCTAACGTTGATGTAGTCAAGGAGAGGGCTGCCGTTAGGGCGGCTATCAAGAAGGAATTCCAGAAGCAAGTCACGAATCCACATCGCCATGGCTCTGCAGAAGGAGGTGTTCTGGTAAGAACGATTGAATTCGATCCGGGAAATCTGTGTCAAGACGGAACGATACCGGTCACGGAATGATTTCAATATAAAAATTCTTTGCTGTGAATGTGAATACAAGAGAAGTGAAGCAGTTCACAAGTGCTTTTGTGGGTGTTTTTTCAGAATGCCTTGGTATATTCAATCGGTATG